TCCAACTCAAAAAAAAAAAAAAAAAAGATTTGCAGTTTTCAGGGAATTTGATGATGATGGAGCAAGGGAAGGTAGGGCAGGACTGGGGAGGCAGCAAAGAGATCTGGGACCAGCACTCTCCTTTTGTTGCCCACCCTCCAAAGACCCCTTTCTAACAGGAGGAGTGGTCTTTGAAAAGAAAGGAACCCTAGTCCCAAGTGGGTCCACCCATGGCCCTATCACTCTGGCATCATGGAGTCAAGCAGCCTTGCAGGAGGGGCAGTATGTGGGATCTGAGGGAGACAAGTGTGTCAAGAAGCGTCTTTCCAGCCAGGCTCGGTGGCTCAGGTTGTCATCCCGCGCCTTGGGAGGCCAAGGCGAGTGGATTGCCTGAGCCCACGGGTTCAAGATCTGCCTGGGCAGCTTGGCGAGACCTCATCTCTACCATAAATCAAAAATTAGCCGGGCATGGTAGCGTGTGCCTGTAGTTCCAGCTACTTGGAAGGCGGAGGCGGAAGAATCGCCGGAGCCCGGCAGGTTGAGGCTGTGGGGGCCGGGAGTGGCCACTGCACTCCAATCTGGGCGACAGAGTGAGACTCCAACTCAATAAAAAAAGAAGAAGCTTTTTTCCTTCTGTTCCAGGGGTCACTGTCTCCCGTTGTTCTCTTCCGGGAGAGGGCTGGGGGGATTCTTATCCACCCAGCCCTAAATCTCTACCCCAGGAGATCCCACCAGCTTCCCTCCCAGTTGGAAAGTTCCTCCTCTGGTCCCACCACAGTCCTCCAGGGTTCTGGGCTAATTACTCAGGAAGGGTGAGGAAGGAGGCTGACTAGGTGGGCTCAGAAAAAGCAAGTTCTTTTCTTTTCTTTTTGCATTGGAGTCTCACTCCATCACCCCGTCTGGAGTGCAGTGGCACACTCACCTCGGCCTTCCAAAGTGCTGGGGTTACAGGCTTGAACCTCTGCGCCCGGCAAGAAAAGGCAAGTTCTATGGACCATCCCCTTCCAGCCTCCTCCTTTCTCTCCCACAAGCCTCCATGCCCCCGCTTGGCCAAACCCAGACAGGGCTTCGTGTCCAGGGAAGGAGGGAGCTGCAGGATATCCTGGTGGCTCCCTTGGCTGGCAGTGTCTTGGGAGACACTGAAGAAGCCAAAGAAAAATGAAAGCAGTATTCCTTTCTACGAGCTCACAGCCTGAAGCCCAGGTAAACTCCCGGGCTTGTAGCTACTTGCGAGTCTCTCTTTTTTTCTTCTTCTTTCGAGACAGGGTCTCACTCTGTCACCCAGCAGGCTAGAGTACAGTGGCATGATCATAGCTCATTGGAACCTCAAACTTCTGGGCTCAGGCGATCCTCCTGTCTCATCCTCTTGAGCAGCTGGAACTACAGGCATGTGCGCCATGCCCAGCTAATTAAAAAAAAAAAAAAAACTTTTTGTAGAGCCATGGCTTCGCCCTATCCTACCCTCCTCTCACTGAAACTTCAGGTCCCCAGTGAAGAGGAACCCATCTCTAAGGACTTGGGGGTTGAGCCTGGATTTTTTTTTTTTTTTGAGTTGGAGTCTCACTCTATCGCCCAGACTGGAGTGCAGTGGC